GCCTGGGTGACAGAGCGAGACTCCGTATCAAACAAACAAACAAACAAAAGCATTCTGTAAAATTGTCCTTAGCCTTGGAATTTCAAAACCTTGTTCTTACTAGATTGTACCCTCAATCAGGATTCATTTATACTAAGTCCACATTAAGCCCTGATTTGGAATGGGGAGTTGATTTGGCCAGGTTACACAAGAATGCAGTTGTTCAAAAACAGTTCCTACTACTACTACCTGTGTTCCTTTTCTGAATGCTCTCCAGTAGGGATTCACCATGCAGTTTCCACTGGGAGACAGAGTTTTGCCTATTGCTTTCCAGCAAGTGCATTCCATCCCTCAAGAGGGCACCTCTGTCAGTTAGGTAGCAACTAAGGGAAAATTCAATCTAAACTGACTTCAGCAACAAAGGGAATTTTTTGGCTCAGGCAAAAAATGGCAGCTTTTGAAACAAGCTGGCCTGGGCTTAGGCTTACAGATTTGAGCGCCATTTATTTCAATTTCCTCTTCTCCATGAGTCAGTTTTGTCTTTTAACTAACTTCCTTCAGGGTGGCAAAATAGCAGTAGCAGTTCTGGCCTTGAGTCCACACATCTCATTACTTAGAAGATAGTTCCTTTCTAACCAAGCAAAAGCCCTGAGCTTCATCATAACTGAGTCAGCTTCTGTAATGTGCTTCGGGCTGAAGCATACAATCAATGCAAACAGAGGAAGGCCATAGGTGACTGGCTGAGGCCCTAAAACCAATCACAGTGGCTGAGGGGGAAAGTAATGTCAACGTGTTTGGAACAGTGGTTCTCAGGGTACGCTCCCGGACCAGTGGCTTTAACACCATCTGGGAACTTCCTGAAAATGCAAATTCTTGGGCCTACTGATTCAGAAACTCTTGAGGTGGGGCCCAGCAATCTATGGTATAACAAGTTTTCCAAGTGATTCTAATGGAAGCTAAAATGTGTGACCCACTGATTTTGACCATCAGGTCCTATTCATAGAGCTTAGCAGGAGTGAATCCCACTCATTTCCCTGGGCTGGCACACAATTAGAAAGTGATGGAATGGAGGCCTGAGAAGTTACCATCGAAACATTTCAGAAAGGGATGGCTCCAGAAAGCATAGCTCATTTCACTTCCTACTTTCTATGCTGAGGCTATGGGGTAGAAATCACAGTGATGAGTACTACAAACTAGCAAATTGGTTTGAAGATTATTATTGATGCCAGTATTATTAGTCTAAGGACCTTGAAGAAAAATGACAAGCATCAACCTTAGCGTTTTCTATGGGTCCTAACCTACTCCCTTAGGAAAAATTTGACAAATTAATGTATACAAATATGACAGAAGTAAACCTACTTAGCAATTAAAACTGTATTGAAGAAAGCATTCTCTAAAACAGTTCCTTAATCATGACTAATCCTAATAATCAACTGGAATAGGGTTACATATACAGATTCCTGGGCTTTACCCTAGACCAACTGAATCCCTCATCAAGGGAGGGGCCTGAGAATCTGTAGTTTAACAGACATTACCAGTGATTCACATGGATTATACATGTTTGGAAAATACTTCAAAGAGATAAAGCCCAAAAACCCAGGTGAAAAATCTCATGGAGGAATTATTTGAAAGCTTCTGACTAATCAAACCGCAGTTTCTTCCTTTTGTTTTCTATTTTTATTTTTTTCAAGACAGGATCCCCTGTGTCAACCAGGCAGCAGTGCAATGGCATGATCACAGCTCACTGCTGCCTCACCCTCCAGGGCTCAAGCAATTCTCCTGCCTCAGGCTCCCCTCCACCCCCAATAGCTGAGACTTACAGGTGTGCGCCACCACATCCAGCTAGTTTTTTGTATTTTTTTGTGAGGTTTGCTGTGTTGCCCATGCTGGTCTTGAACTCCTGAGCTCAAGTGATCTTCCTGCCTCGGCCTCTCAAAGCGTTGTATTATAGGCATAAGCCACTGCACCCAGCCTCCTCTCCTTTCTTTAATGCACTCCCTCACTATTGGGGCCTCTAACTAATGTTTCTTCCTCTAGTCTGACCCTATCCCACACCCTAAACGTGTTGCTTTTCATACCATTGTCAGAGTAAAAGAAACTTGATGTCAGGATTCTGATCAAAATCTGTCACTAGTCCTTACCATGGCTTATAGGATAAAATTCAAAGTCTTAGCATGACACTCTAGACTCCAGCTAATCTAGTCTTTGCCTTTCTTCTTCAACCTTACCTCACATCGTTAGTCCACTTGAACCCCACCCTTGAACTGCCCTGAATTCCTTCCATTGCCTTGAATACATGCTGCTCCTTTGTGCCCCCTGCTCATCATGGTTTTCCTTCCTTCTTCCCCTGATGTATCAGTCAGGCTATCACCAGCTAATGCCAAGGTAACAAAATCTCAGTAGATGAAGATGACAGTGATTTACAACTCTCTCACCTGGTCTATGTTAGGGGTGGGCAAATTTTTTTTTAATTTTTCTAAAGGGCCAGGTGGTAAATATTTTAGGCTTTGTGAGCAAGGTACAGTCTCTATTGCACACCATTTCTCTTCTTTGTAAAACTCTTTTAAAATGTAAAGATCGTTCTTATTTGTAGGCCATACAAAAACAGGTGTCTGACTAGACTTGGCCCATGAGTCCTAGTTTGCTAACCTCGAACCATTGTAAAAGACACATAGACAGCAGGAACTACTCACGTGGGTAGTTCTAAATGAATCTAATCACTCAGAGACCTGGACTAATGCAGCCACCTCTTAAACATTTGCTGGCACCATGCAGACAAAAAGAGAGTCTCACATAAGCAATTAAATGCTCCAGTCTAGAAATGGCACCCTATAATGCAGGCTCACAAATAATTAGCCAAAGTTAGCCTTTCGACCCCATCCAACCAAGGGGGCCAGGATGTTCAATCCTACCATACGTCCAGAAGTAGGGAGAACTCAGATTACTGGGTGAAAATGATATATAAAAAAAAGCTCAAACGCTCTGTCAAGCCTTTTCTGATACCCTTATCCTGCAGCCAGAATAGTTGCTTCTTCCTTGCAATCGTATAGCACTTTAAGCATCTCTTAATCAGGGTGCTGTACATAGGGTGCTACAACTGCCCACTTGCCTGCCTCCTCTACCAGATGCTGAGCTTCCTAGACAAGCACTTCTATATGCTCAATATGTGTTGCTTCAACAAATAAATGAATGTGGTGGTTGTAGGAGTGAATGGGGATCCTCTTTGCATTTACCTGAAGGCATTAGGAATCCGGCAGTGTCAACTCTGAACCCAGTTAGTTCAACCACTTCAATCTTCACTTATGATCAATTAGCTCAGTTAGTTAAACCACTTCAATCTCCACTTATCATCAGTTTATCTCTTTAGTTATTACTTTCTATCATAATCAAATGTATTTCTCCATACAACCTTTTTCTTCTAATAAACACCTTACAGAGAGCTGGTCCTTGAGCAATTTGATATTAAGTACGTTGGTTTTGTTTTCAGTTTACAGGTCAGGAGGCAGGCACAAAGAGGCACAGTGATTTTTCCCAAGTCACACAGTCAATCAGAGATGGAGCCAAAAGATATGCTTTCTTTTGAGTCAACAAAAAAGCCACAAAATTGAACATAGAGCTGCAGCGAAGTTCACCGAAAGTTTACTTATAACTCTTGGAAAATTATAAAATACTCACATGTTTTTCAAGGTAAGTCTTATACCATATCAAAGTTTAGCTTGTAGTGTTCATATTTGAGTAAAATATTAAAAAGAAGTCACATGACTGTTTATTAACACTGCCCCTTTTGGTATTGATTCTACCCATCCCCTGTACTCCTTTCCTCTTCTGTAAAGTGACAGCTTCCCATCAGAACCCTGAGAATATGAAAGACATCGTGCACTGAGGTTTTCCCATTACATCTCAATGCCCATTAGGTGAATAACACTGGCATGCATCTTCACTACTAAATGTCATAAAAACAAATTTTAGTTGTTTCACATGAAGGCTGCGTGGCTGCTGCAGTTTCTAACAACTATGTAATCACAGGGTAGGCAAAATAGCATTCAAAATGAGCTATAGTGCAAGATCCCATCCTTACCTAGAGTTAGTCCCTTTCATGCTTAGCAGTCATGATCTGGGTATCTTTGGTCCCACAGAAACATATCCTGACTTGGAATTTTCCTCTCCTGTGTGTCTCCTAGATATGGAGTTCCTAATAAATGTCTCCCCTGACTGCTATTCTTGACAAATTCCCAGGAGAAGCAGAGCAAGGAGAAGACAGGGAGGCAGTGCCTCCTACTCTTCAGATCACCAGCAGAATAGACTCGGAATATATTATTGAAATCTTTCAAGTTTGAAACAAGATTAAAAACAACTTTTTTAAAATACCTAAAAACCTTTTCTTTCAGAAAGTGGAATCGCTCGATGTGCCCTCCCACTCTGGTTAAACGGTTAACAGACCACAGCAGACAATGCACCTCAACCGGGGCTAAGCGTGCAAGAAAACTGAAGTACACAAAAAACAAATTACAGGCTCAGGGACTGTCAGGCATAAAAGAAGAATAAATCCTTTCTAGGAGTCTTGCCTTTGCTTCCTTTATTCTTTCCTTAAGTCTTGTAATTGAATGTTACGAAGTACATCAAGAAGAATAAACCTATGGGGCCCCTCTCTTCCAAACTAGAAAAGGTTAAGCTTTTAATTACAGGCCCTCAAACTATCATTTTGTGCAATTAGCAATTAACTATAATCGTTGATGAGCGAATGCAAAGCTGCGCTAGCAATTTCCCTTCTCCTCATCCCAGGCTGGGTTATTTTAGTCTTGTTCTATTGCAGAGGATCCGCCACAACGGCGTGCACTCTCTCTTTCAAACACACGCTCTCTCTCAAAGACACATTTAGTTTTTAGCAAAATGGCATCTCAGCGTGCTACTGACACAGGCATCCCGAACCCCATATTTGAGCAGCCCAGACGTTTCAAGCCCCTCCGCTCCGCTTCATCACTTTCTGAGTGGAGAGGAGGCCCGAAGAAGATGCTACCTACCAGCCTCTCTCAGGGGCGCAGGAGAGGGTGGTAGAGAGATGCTTGTTGCCCCTGGAAACTGCAAGTACCCCCCAGCTGCACGGCCGGTTAGTGGGGAAGCCGTGGCAGTAGCAGCGAGAGTTGCATCAGCGCTAACTGCTGCCGCTGCGTGTTCAGTTGGCGGCTGCCGGGAGGGCACTGTAATGACTGTAGGGAGCGCACAGCTGCGGCGGCGGCAGGTTCCCTGGATCAGGAAATTAGGACAGGCACCGGGGATTGGAGGCGAGGGCGGTGCGCGAGCCAACCAGCGGCCGCCCCGGGCCCCCGTGAGCCCCAGGCGGACGCGCAGAGAAGCCGGGCCCCTAGAGCAGCCCGGGTGGCGGCGGCGGCGGCGGCGGCGGCGGCCACGGCCACGGCCACTCACGCACGCACGCTCACACTCGCACACTCCCGGCGCGTGTAAGAGGAGCGCGTCGAAGGAAAGGAGAGCTGAAGCCGCCGCGCGCCCGCCCGCCCGCTGACCACTCCCCCCTCCTGCCCCCTCCCCGCTCCTCACCCCGAGCTCCAGCGGCCGCCGGTGTGGGTGCTCCGCTACCGACTCCTGTCTCTTCTGTCCTCTCCTCTGCTCTCGGCTCCCCACCCCCTTTCCCTTCCCTACCCTCCCCTTTCCTCCCCTCCTCTACAGCGCCTGCATTATTTTCTGCCCGCAGGCTCGGCTTGCACTGCTGCTGCAGCCCGGGGAGGTGGGTGGGTGGGTTGGCTGGCGGGGAGGAGATTGTGCAAGTTGTAGGGGAGGGGGTGCCCTCTTCTTCCCCGCTCCCTTCCCCCCCAACTCCTTCCCCCTTCTTCTCCCCCTTCCCCCTCCCCGCCCCCACCTTCTTCCTCCTTTCGGAAAGGCTGGTAACTTGTTGTGCGGAGTGAGCGGCAGCGGCGGCACCATCCAAGCGGGCACCATGGGCACGTCCGCGCGCTGGGCGCTCTGGCTGCTGCTCGCGCTGTGCTGGGGGCCCCGGGAGAGCTGCGCCACCGGAACCGGTGAGTGAGGACGCGCCCCTCCGCCTGCGGCCGGGACCCAGCCGAGGCACCGGGGGACCTCGAGGCGCAGGTCTCCGTTTGCCCACCCGCCTCCTAGGAGGCGCCTCTCGGCTCTCCTCTTTTTCTTTCCCTCCCCACCGTGGTGGCGCCTCTGAGCTGTCAGCGCCGCGGCCAAAGGGAGCCGGGCTTGGGGGACAGTGGGGTTTGGGGTGTCTTGACGTTTCTCCCGAACTAGTCTTCGATGCCTCACACCGCGGCCCCCAAAGCCACTGCTTTGCCTCGTTTCTCGCCCCCTTGACAGGGGCTGAGGAATGTGAGCTTCTGAGCATTGAACAATGGTTCTGCCTCTTCTGCCAGGCGGAGTGTTACAAGGAGGCAGAGGGCCGAGACGTGCGCGACAGCCGGGGGTGCGCCCCTCGGACCTCGGGGAGTGTGGGGGCGGGCGGTGGGCTAAGGGGCGCGTCTCCGGGGACGCGGGCTGCCAGGTGCCGGCCAGGGCTCAGAGTCCTCCGGCGGCCGTGAGCGGGCGCACGTTCGGTGGGCGGCAGCCAGGAGGCTCCGCGGAGCCGCGGGCAGTGCGCAGCGTGCGCACCCAGACTGCGACTCCCCCGGCGCGGGCCGCCTCTCCCGCGTGCGGGGTAGGGGAGGAGCGGGGCTTTACGCGGGACTCTCCTGTGGGTGCTTCTCCCCTCCCTTTTCCACGCCTCGGGCGGCATTTGGAAACCTCTCGGGTCTCTCGTGCAGCTGAACGGGGAGTGGGAGTAGAAGGAAGACTTAATCAGGTTAGTTTGCTGATTCCTCCTTCCCAGTGACGTTTCCTCGAGAGGAATTGAGTCCTAGGCTAGTGACTGTAATTAGCCTTCATTCTAAACAATAGATCAAAGGAGCAGCGCGAGAGCGAGTGTGTGGCCCTGTCTTGTTGAGAAGGGCGGTGGTGACCACTGTCGGATCCCTGGAGTCTACCGCAGGCGCCTGGGGGCCCCTGCCTGGTCTTCAGCCACTCTCCCACTTGGGGCCTCATAACTTTCCAGGACAAACCACAGGAAGCCCTTCTAAGAGTACTCAGTCAGAATCCTAGCGCGTCCCAGATGTGATCTTCAGATGTGAAGCCGAGGGGTTTGCTTGCCAGCTGCAGGGAATTGGGACAGAAAGCCGCCCCGGCCTGAAATACCGATTCCAGAGTCCCTAGTTCCCATCGCCAGGTGGCTTAGGGGGCTCTACTTGCCTGCAGTCACGTGCTCCTGAAGTCAGAGGGAAGTTTAAAGTATGTGGTCAAGAAGCCTCTCTGGCAATGCCTGGGGCTTTATGTCTCGAATGCCCCTGCCCTTTGGTTGCCACTGTCCGGAGCGTGTGAACTGGGACTGGCCTTTCGGCCCTCTGCGATTGGTCGGCGGTACGATCACGTTTAGGTTGGTCACATGGTTCTGCGGACTCCTAAGTGAGCAGCATGGGAAGTGTTAGTTACAAGGGAAAGTGAGACTCCACAGGCTCCTATGGGTTGTTCTTGCAAATGCCTTCTCCTGCCTGGACTCTTTAAAGAGGACGAGTGTGTAGTGAACGTGGAGTCTGATGTGTTACAAGTCTGAGAGCCTAGAAAAGCTTTGCTTAAAACGCTAGCATTAATCATTAATGGATGAGTAATACTAACTTATTAAACGATTTCTCAGAATAGTGCCATGACTTGAATTATGCCTTTTGTAACATTTCAAAACACTGAGGTACACCAGAAGGAGGGACAATTATCCAGGAAGGTGAGAGAAAAGTTTCATTTTTGCTGTATGTCCCTTCCACTAGAGGCTAACTTTACCTTGTAGAATCCTAGGAATGCACCTAAACTGCTGAAGTGAGTTAGTCAAAGCCAGATGTTCACCTTATATTAGGCAGGTGAGGATCCTCTTCACTTTGTAACATGTGAAATATTTGACATGCCATGAAGGATGGCAAAACAGAAACTCATGCAAACTTAAATTCTTCAAAGGACAGGAGGCAGATTCTTTCAGAACTGGAGGAAATTTGGGCCAAGACAGATATTGACCCGAAACCAACCCCTACTGGCATCTGTCTCAGTTCAAAGTCTCAGGGCATGTGGGCTCACTTTCTACCCTGGAGCTTCTCCACTTCCCCTTCACCCCTCTGGCACATGGTGCTGTTTCACAGTACTCCTGGACAAGGCAGTTGAGCACTGAGACTCTGGCAAGGAACTTAAAGTTAATGAGAAATTGGTATACCTGATCGCACAGTTCCTGAGGATTCTAGGACATTTTCCTCCAGCCTAGGTAGTCCAGATTAAGGTCTGTGGTATGATATATTCTTTAAGACCAGAGTCTAAAAGAACCAAGCTTTTGTGAGAGCTCTTCAGATATGGCTAGCAACTGTTAGCCTAAGAGTAGAAAGAAACTTCTCCCATGGTGGGAAGTGGGTAGTAATGGACCTGGAGGTAGGAAACTGGAAGGCATGGAAAGGAAACCTGGCTCTCATCCACATAACCCCAGTAAAGGTATGACGATGATAGTAACCCTTATCAAAGACCGCTGCTCTCTCATGTGAGCAAGGACTGTGTAAAGGAAGGTCACCAGACAAGCCCTCCTTGGCAGTGACAGCTTCTTGAAGTCTAGAGTAGCTTTGTTCCCTGAAGCATTGTCTTGCCCAGTTTATGTGGCATTTATGTGCCTGTCCTGTGTCATTTTGATTATTTGCTTTTAGGGCCTGAGTCCCCAGATACCTAAAGCATGTATAAAGGTCAAGTTAAGTACAGCTGCCAAATATTAAGACTTTTTAGTACAATAAACTGCTGTTTAAACGTTGCTAGCAAAGGTGACAACCTCCAGGCTTAAAAGAAGTGAAGACCTGATCCAAGTGTTTCTACCTGTCATAAAAGTTAATAACCATAAAGTTGACTTGAGTCATTTTATTACAATTTTGGAAGAGGAAAAAAGTCATTACAAGCCCCTTCTGTTCCTGGAGGGGTATCAAACTGATAAGACTTAACAGGAACTCCTAGAGGAGAACATGACCATAAGGTCAAGGGAACAGATAGTACCCAGCCTCATGGCTTCGGGTTTTGATCCCAAACCCAGAAGACTTGGCACACAGCATAGAAATATAGCTAATTCACTTTCAATGTCTAGCCCATTTTCTATTTCTGACAGAATGTAAATAAAGTTGCTCTTTTCAGTGCAGGGAAGAGTGCTTAAGATGAGACAGTTGCCTACATGACTTCAAGTCATGATTGAATTCACTTTGGATACGGACTTTCATTTGGAAAACCACCTTTACATACTAGCCTATAAGAAACTAAATGCATTAAAGGGCTTGATGAGGTCTATGTTGATGTTCCTCATACATGTACCTGCCTTAGGGAGCTCCTTGTGGTGGTCTAATACAACCTCCCTCTCCATAGATAGTTGATAAATTCAAAATTGCTTAGTTTGGTCCCTGCTAGTTTAATCTCAGAAGAATACTTGGGCAACAGTGGGACAGACGACTTTCAAGACAAACAGTCTGAAAATACTGTCTACTGAGGTTATGGGTGAGATATACTTTTTAAGCAGAAGTAAGTAGTCCAGGGACAATTTTTTTCTGCCACCTAAAGAGTTTTGGGCTAGAGAATCTGAGGACTGAGAGTTTTTCTGAAACTCAGGGGTAGAGTCTGCCTTTTAAGTAAAAATCATCTCAGTTTTACTCTCTGCATTTCTCAAACTAAATGACTAAATCACCGTCTCTTTGCTAAGTTCTAAACACTGTTAATACCACTTAGTTACATACAATAACTGCTCTGCAGGAACCAAATGAGATGGCAGGTGACACAGGTTGAGTGTTCCTTATCTGAAATATTTGAAACCAGAAGCGTTCCACAGATTTTAGGTTTTTTTGTTTTGTTTTGTTTTGTTTCCAGACTTTGGGACATTCACACATACATAATAAGGTATCTTGGGGATGAGCCAAGTCTAAACATGAAATTTATTTGTATTTCACATACACCTTAAACACATAGCTTGAAAGTCATTTTATACAATTTTTTTTTTTTTTTTTTTTTGAGACAGAGTCTCACTCTGTCACCAGGCTGGAGTGCAGTGGCGCGATCTTGGCTCACTGCAACCTCCCCTTCCCCGGTTCAAGGATTCTCCTGCCTCAGCCTCCCAAATAGTTGGGACTACAGGCACACACCACCACGCCGAGCTAACTTTTTTGTATTTTTAGTAGAGACAGGGTTTCACCATGTTGGCCGGGATGGTCTCGATCTCTTGACCTCGTGATCCACCCACCTTGGCCTCCCAAAGTGCTGGGATTATAGGTGTGAGGCACCATGCCCAGCCTATAGAATATTTTTAATGATTTTATACAAGAAACAGAGTTTTGACTGCAACTTGTCACATGAAGTCATTGTGGAATTTCCACTTATGACCTCATGTCAGCACTCAAAAAGTTTTGGATTTTGGAACGTTTCAGATTTTGGATTAAGAATGCTCAACCTGTACCATAAATTTAGCATACTTTTACCAGTGAGTGAAGTCTGCTAAGAAAGCTTGGGCCCAGTAGTTATTTTGAGTCTTTAAGCAAGAGAGTGTCTGGGTCCTGTGAGGATAAGTATGGAGATTATTAGAAATGTTTTAATGCTTGCTTAGAGATCCTTTGTCTGCTTAGTAGTTTAGAGATGCTGGAAACTATAAGATGTGGCCGCTGGCTAGAAGAGATGATTTTGACAACTCAGGGCATTTGGGTAGCCTTTACGTTTATAGGCAAGATGGTGGAGATGGGGGGGGCCTTCCAATTTGCCAAGGAAGGGACATAACAGAGCCTTGACTATAGACAGCATTTGTGATTACATCACATGTTAGAACTTAATAGTTCTCCCACATACTGTGAGTAAACAGGGTTTCTATTTTATAGACTGCCTCTAATCTTTCATTTTCTTAAATGAAAATCCCCAGATCTGAGTTATTAACTTATCTTTAGGTTCACTAAGTAGGTTGCAGATTGATGCTGATCATCTTTGTGCA